AAATGTCATGAACCCAGGGCACATCTACAAATGGTCATTCAGGAGATGGCAAATGACATGGGCACAGATACTTACTGTCAATTGGACCCTGCCAACCTTGGAGAGATTAGAAACTCTTCTGTTTTCTAATAAACTGGTTTTGGTTTTTGTTTTTAAATTCTGGAACTGGTGTTTCTTCAATCAAATTAAATTCAACAGATTCTAAGCTCCTTAAGGCCAGAGACTGTCTTTTGCCTCTTTTTGTATCCACAGCATTTAAAACAGTGCCTGGCAGACAGTAGGCATTTAATAAACGTACAACAAACATTTCTGAAGTCCCTACTATGTGCTTGTCACTGTACTGGATGGTGATGAAACAGAAACAAAAAAACTGTAGCAATCCCTGCCCTGGAGGGGCTTAGATTCTACTGAAGATCACAGCAGACACACAACGAGGTAAAGAAAAAGCATATCTAAAGAAAAGTGATTTTCAGGAGGAAGAGAGGGCCCTGTGTGCCAGCTACCGAAGGAACCTGTGCAATATCAAGAGACCAACAAAAGTCTTCCCAAGAGGTTGTCAACCCCCCGAAGAGGGTTTAGGGAACGAGATGGATGAGGGTCACACGAGATGAGAAGTGGTGCCTAGCTTGTGGTCTGCTATGTCTGAGGAAGGATTGCCATCCATGAGATGACAGTACTATCCAAGGGTCGGGGGATTTGTATTAGCTTCGATGCTCTCACCTCCACAGTGCATCATAGCCTCTCCGGCACTGGCTGGATTTTCAGATTTCTGTGACTTAAAAATGCTTCAGCCTGTGACCAACTTAACTTTCAGCCTCTGTCAATTTTGTCATTGTTGAGTCGTTTTCAGTCGTGTCCAACTGGGGTTTTCTTGGTGAAGAGACTGGAGAGGTTTGCCATTTCCTTATCTACCTCATTTTACTGCTGAGGAACTGAGGCAAACAGGGTTAAGTGACTTGTCCAGGGTCACACAGCTAGTTAGTATCTGAGGTCAGATTTTAACTCAAAGAGATGAGCCTTCCTGATTCCAAGCTCGGCACTCTACCCACTGTACACCTAATGGCCTCTTTCTAAATTTAGTTGGACTATTTTTCTGAATGACAGAATTGGGGTTTATCCATCACCAGGTCAATGCCTGAAGTCTTTCTGTCGTGATGGAACCTGCTAGAGTTTTGTTCTGCTAGTATTGCCTTTGAAAGCCCAAGATCACCACCATACCACCATGACATCTAGAGGAAGTCTAGAATGTCACTTTCTCTAAATGTGACCAAAATGGCAAAATACATCTGACTTGGACTGAGCAATGGGGGCCCCGTCCAATTAATCCTACTGACCCCAACATCCATTCCTCACTTGCTGCTAGGTATTATACAGAGAATGACAACCAGTGATCAAGAAGGGCCATTGAGCCCTGCCCAAAGAGTCACTTGGGAAAGCTTAAATGTGAAACAGATGCCAGGGAGGTTTCAGTGAACTAGTCCAAAGTTAGAGACTGGGGTCTGGTGAAAAGCGGCTCATTGAAAGAGGAAATATCCTGCCCCATTCCCAATGCTCTTCCCCAAAGACAGAGATGATTTGCTATGAATCAGAACCTTGAAATGCTCCTCTTTTGCTCTCCTAAATTAGCAATTCAGAGCTCACAGGCTTAAAAATACCAACCAGTAATGAGAAACAGGAAGGCTTCATTTCACTTACCAGCAGCGGGTAAATTCCCAGAAAGTTGAAAAAGGGATGTGAGCTGCTGACCTTTAAAAATATAACAAGTAAATCGTTTTGAAAGAACAAATCTCAGAGATTTAAAAATGTATTTTCTTTGACTCTGCAAATACAGAAATCAGCTTGTTCCCTGCCTGAGAGTTCAGATCTTGCCAGTTTCAATAAGTGTGATGGCTCTGAGCTGCTGTTTTTTTAGCTGTCAGTCCAAAGCACAAAAAAAAAAAATGGAATTTCACAAAGGATTGTGGAAGTTCTGGGCTTCTTCCACACTAAGCCAGCCCATTCAGAGATAAGCAATTAGGATAATTTTCAAAAACATAAATGCCCCTTCCTTTAAGATGGTTGCTGAAGTCATCAAGGGTGACCAAATCCTGGGAATTGGGATAGCCTCTGCTCAGATATTTCTGAATCCCACCCTGTTGGGCCCCTCAAGTTTCCAGGCCAGACCTCAGGACAGAGAAACAAGAGAAGAATGCATCAGTGTTTGGCAAGGAGGTTAGGTCCGATGAAGGACACCTTTGAAAATCATGAAGAATAGAATAGCCTGTGTTACACAGGGCTTTAAGGTTTGCAAAGCTCTTTCCATGCACCGTCTCATCTGAGCCTTGTAGCAATGTATTACACCCTCATTTTATAGATGAGGAAACTGAGTCTCAGAGACGCCAAGTGCTTTCATCAGTCACATGATTAGTAAGTAACTGGGGCGAGTGTTGCCTGTGACACCATTAGCCTCCAAATAGGGGAATTTACTGGAGGGCAGGACTTCTGAGTTGAGAGATTGGGGGATACCACTGTTAGGCCTATATCCCAAAGACATACAAAAGAGGGGGGAAGGACGTGTTTGTATATAAATATTTATAGCAGCTCTTTTTGTGGTGGCTAAGAATTGGAAATAGAAGGGATGCCCATCAATTGGGGAATATCTAAGCAAGCTGTGGTATATGATGGTAATGGAATATTATTGTGCTGTAAGAAATGACAAACAGGATGATTTCAGAAAAACCTGGAGAGACTTACATGAATTGATGCGTAGTGAAGTGAGCAGAACCAGGAGAACATTGTATACAGTAACACCAATATTGTTCAATGAGGAATTGGGAATGACTTAGCCATTCTCACCAATACAATGCTCCAAGAAAATTCTGAAGGACTTATGATTAAAAATGCCATCCATCCCCAGAGAATGAACTGATATTGTTTGGATACAGACTAAAACACACTATTTTCACTTTCTTTCTTTGATTTTTTTTCTTTTATTCAAGTCTTCTTATACAAAATGAGTAATATGGAAATGTTTTACATAATTGCATATGTATAAGCTATATGTGATTGCTTACTGTCTCAGGGAAGGGGGAAGAGAGGGAGGGAAGGAAGGATAGAATTTGGAACTCAAAACTTTAAATAAAAATGTTAAAAAAAATAAAAGAGAAAGAGATTGGGGAATTTTTGGTAACAACTCAGGCATCACACAAAATTTAAGATGATTTTAAGTGAAGCCATTCTTTTGAAAAGCACCAACACTTTAGGGCTGAGATGCTGTCCTTTCCATATCCCCGCTCCCCTCTCTTATCCACCATATGACTGAGTCAGCTACCCAAATCAACCTACTCCTCTGTCCAGGTCCCCAAATGAATGATGAGGTTTCATCTCTGCCATCTTGTAATATACCTCCTTGAGGCTGCCAACTGGATGAAGAAGAAAGAGTCGGGCACCCACGTCCCCCAGATGTCCTTACATTGGGTTTAGAGAGCACTATCAGACTCAAAGAGGAGACCCAATAAAGCCATCCAGGATCCAGATGTGGACTGGGGACCTCTCGCTATTGCAAAGGCCGCCTAACACAGAACCTGCCCATTGCCCAGCACCATGGGTGCTGCTGTCAGGCAGCATTTGAGATTCCCCAGACCTGGCTGGCTTCTGGTCCTATGGTTAGTAACAGCCATAGGAAACACATTTCTATGTCCCTACTCTAGAAAATCAGACAACACAAAAATCAGGCATTAGGTGTGAAACACCAACATTGTTGGTGTTATTGCACACTGGTCAGTCAGCAAGTGTTTATTAAGTACTTATTATATACTGGGTACCATGGTGCATGCTGGCTGGGGATACGAATGAAAGCAAAAGCCCAATCTGTCTTGTTCTGAAAGACGATTCAGAATGAAGCAGGAAAAGTTCCTACTGAGCATGCACAGCAAGGAGGCTAATGTCTGTATAAAACATGTGTAACAGCTCTCTGTAGTAGGGGAAATACAGCCAACACGTAGAAACTAGGTGGCTCCCTATGAATCAGGAATAAAATGTAGCAACCGAACATAATAAGAATAGCTAATGTTTCCATAGCACCATGAGGTATACATGATGTTTCACATGTATTCTCATTCTATTCCCCAGAACAACCCTGTGATGTGCATGTTATTATTGTTTCATTTTATTATTTATATTTATATTATGTCTCATTTGTATTTACAATTTGGGTATTTACAAATGAGGCATCTGAGTCAGACAGAGGGAAAGTGACTTAGCCAGGGTCACACAGCTGTTAAATGTCTGAAGCTGGATTTGAACTCGGGTCTTTCTCACTCCAAGTACAGCATTCTCTCTACTCTACCACCTGCTATTCTTGTACAGTAAGAACTGATAGCGAAGGGATTTTTTTTTAATGTAGGATGAAGTGATACAGATTAAAGAAAGCAGGACTGAGGGAAGACTATAAGAACTAAGGCAGTGTAACTGAGCTCAGGACTTGGACACCAGGACTGAGGCTGATGCCAAGTCATAACCGTTGTGCCTCTGAGCCGTCACGTGATGCCCATCCCTCCTCCACATAAAGTGGTGGGGGACAAGGGGTGATGAAGACAGCAGATTCTGATGGCTTTGCCTGCCTTGAAGTGAGGAGTAGGGCAGAAGACGATGACAGGCATGAAGGGCTTTGGAGATTAGCTCATCAACCCTCGTTTGTTAGGTGAGGGAATAAAGTCCCACAGAGAGACATGCCCGGTCCTGATGCCCCATGATTACGGCACTGTCCTGTCCTTGTTAGCAGGTCTCACAAAACAGAATGTTTGGTAATTATGAGAATCACCTTGGGCTGTCCCAAGTTGGCCCGAAGTTCACTTTGAGGTTGGCAAAGCATTGGAGGAATCCTCTCCAGGGAACACAGGATTCTTTGACTAAAAGTTTGCCGCCTGCCAACATTATTTGTGGCCCAACTTCAAAGGAAAATAGACAATTTCTAGATGACTCATCCAATCCAGGAGAGAGAGCGCCCAGCTGAAGACGCTTTGTGGGCAATGGAGCCATTGCAGAGATGCCTTTGGCCAGGAAGTCTGGGGAGAGCATTTATTATTTTCTGACATGGTCCAGATGTAGTAAAGAGAACAGTCGTTGGATTGGGGACCTGGAGACCCATGCTTCTGACCCCGAGGCTCTCTCTGAGGCTAGCAAGCTGGGCTGCCGGGGGCACATTGTCGATGTCTCTGAGACTTAGCTTTCTCAAGGTAAGATGCGACATGGAGAGGATGTGATTTCTGGGACTCCCCAAATCCTGTGGCTTGTGAAAGCTGATGTGATCTTGGAAAAGCACTGTCTGAAGAGATGATGAAGAGATAATCTTACTGAACACTAACTCTGTCAAACTCCAGCTGGGGTCTGGGGTCTATTTCTGGGCGCCGCATCTTAGGAAGGGCATGGACAGGCTAGGAAGCACTGAGAGGACAGCTTCACATCTGCACAGCATGAAAAAGGGTCTCTAGCTTCCTTCAAAGCCTTCAGATGCCACCTCCTACACAGAGGCTGTCCTGATACTCTCAGCTCCCATGAATCACTCTGAATTTGCTTTGATTTTTCTTCCGTGGATACCTCTTGTTTCCCTCGATAAAACAAATTCTTCAAGGATAATGACTTTTGTCCCCTGTGCCTAGCCCAGTGCCTTGCACATTGGAGGTAGATATTTATACATTCTTATTATTTATTGATATGTAATCCCAGTCCTAAAGCCCACAGGTGCAGGGCATTGATCTTACCAATGAGGAGAGAGTCTCATACCAACAGGCTTTGGGACTGTGATTACAGATGAATAGAATGAAGGAACTGGGAACATTTAGCCTGGGGAAGACTTGGGGAAGAATTGGCAGCTGTTTTACAACATTTGAAGGTCTGTTAGGTAGAAGAATTTTGTTCCTCTTGGCCTCAAAGGGCAGAGCTAGGAGGCCTCCAGGGGATTTGTGAAAGCGCCAACTTAGGTTTCGCCATCAAAAATGATCACAGCTGTCCCAAAGTGGCACAGGATACTTCTGGAGTTGTATGCACCTCTTCACTAGAGGTCTCTAAGTAAAGACAGGCCGGTCACTTATCAAGTAAGTTGTAGAGACGATTCTTGCCCAGACTGGGGCTGGCTTCTGGGCTCCCAAGCTCCTTCCGCTTCTGAGGCTCTGTGACTCTCTGACCTCTGGTCATCCTTCCAGGTTCCATCTGGCAAGTCTGGGGTGTAAAATACTGACCCATGGAAACTAAGAGTGAGTAGCTGCACTCCAGCAGGTGGATGTGTATGTGTGTGTGTGTGTGTGTGTGTGTGTGTGTATGTGTATGTGCCATGCTGACTAAATGTAAAGGAGTGACTGAGATGCCGTCAGTCAGTCACCAAGCACTTATTAAGTGCCTACTATATACCAGGCACTGTGCTAAGCACTGGGGATATATGGAAAGGCAAAAGAGAGTCCCTGCTCTCAATACTTCAGAGCCTACAAGCCAAATGTAGGTGTAAACGTATAAAACCTGGTCCTTTGAATGGTGTGAAAAGAAACCAATTTCCTGGATTTCCTGAAAGCCCCTCTGGTTTTATGGAGCATGCTGTCAGCACAGAAGTAGACTGGCTTGGGAATCTTCACTGAAGGGAGGTAGTTGGACCCTGGAGGCAAAGATGCAGAAGGGAGTGAGCTGCCTTCTGCCACAGCCTCTAGCTGGCCCATCTGTCCCAAGGGAGATAGCTTTGGCTGGTGAAGTCTCCAACACAGGCTTTGACAGAGACTCCAATGAGCCTGAGTTCAGCACATAATTTATTGTTCCTGACTTTGTGGGAGCCTGTCAATGGAGCTAGTTCAATTTTGAATTTGAACCCCATTGCCAAGGAGTGATTGAAAAAATATGGGGCCTGAAGCAACCCCAGAGGTAGATTGTTGGATCTGGTTTAGTCTTTTCAATTGGAGGAGGCCTCAGCTTCCAAAAGAAAGAACAAAAATCACTCTGAGGCTTTAACTTTTAATGAAAAAGGACTCCCCTGGCTCATCTAGACTCTAGCTGCCTGTGAACACCACATATGTGGTGGGAAAGTGTACATGTGCTGAGGATTGATGGTCACGACTTTGTAGAAAACAAAAAATTATACACACATATATATGTATGTATACCAGCATATATATGTACACACATAGTGTTTATATGTACATATAGTACTTATATGTATAAATATATATGTACATATATACACATGTGTATGTGTATAAATAGAAGTGTATGTATGTGTATGTGTGTGTGTGTGTGTGTGTGTATGTGTGTTATGTAATACTATATTCTGGCCTCGAAGCTGGGAAGACTGAAGTTCTGGTCCCATCACTGACATACAGTGATTGAGTGACTCTGGGCAGATTCCCTGACTTTCCAGTCTTCTAGGTAACTCTCACAGACTCTAAGTCACAATGAAGGTACTGGCCTACAGTGGTAGAAAGTTTCCTCAGCTCTGAGCTCTCTAGGTCAGTGCAATTACAGATGTAGCCCCCTAATATTACTGTTATTATTTATCACCTCATTCTTCTTGTCTTTTTACATGGAGTTTAGATAGGAATGGCCCCAGGGCAAGTCACTATCCTGTAATTTCATTATATTAATGTTCTATTTATTAATATTCTGCACAAATAGACAAAAATCTATTTTTTCTTATTAAATTAAAAGGCTAAATTGGGATAGAAGTTCAAGGCTAGGCTCACTGAAAGCATATCATTTTTCTGATCACATGTTCCAAATACAAAATGATTTAATGACAAGTAACTTGGTGGGTTTTCCATTTCTTGGATATTCCTTAAATGCTGGGAGCAGCTGGCTGCTGTCATTGTACTAGGCAGGAATCATTTCCTTTTTGTCTTCGTATAGCCAGCACTGGACTTGCCACGTGCCATTTAATAAATGTTTGTCTAATTTAATCTAATCGTGTGAGCTGAAGGGTAACCCTTCCTATTTCCCACTAACCCTGCTGATTGATGAAGAGGAACGGATAGGAATAAGCATAAGCAATAATACTATGTGCCAGGCACTATGCTAAGTGCTTCATAAATATTATCTCATTTGACCCTTGGAAATGCTGTAGGCAGGTGCTGTTATTATCCCCATTTTACATATGAGGAAACTGAGGCAAACAGAAGTTGAGTGACTTCCACACGGTCACACAGCTAATCAGCGTCTGAGGCTGCATTTGAACTCAGATCTTCTTGGCTACAGGACTAGTGCTCTATCCACCTCACCCCCTAGCAGACCGGGATGACAACTGGATTCATGGATGAGGAGAAACCAAAGAGAATCTTCAGCCTCCCCTTTATACTCAAACAGATGGCACTGGTTTTACCTTGAGCAGCATTGCTTTATGGGCTCTCTACCCCACGTTCTGATGCCACTTTCAATGGCAGAAATGTCAACTGGAATCTTGCTTTTGGCCTCCCAGCAAAGACAACGCCTGCTCTTCCTCCCATTTAGCGGGACCTTTCCAAAGTGCCCTGCACAGAGCTCTGAGAACGGGTTCTACCTCCCTCTGCTCTCCAAATCTGAACATTTACCACGATAAGGATAGAGTTACTTTAAGCAGAGTTAAAATTCTCATGCTGGGCCACGATTTGCCACCTGATAGGAAACAGTAAAACGGTCCCATTTCCGTGCCCTCTGGGACAGAAGAGACCAACATCAATGCTGCCGGTCACTGTGGACTGCTCAGCCCGAACCCTTCCCCCTGGAAGGTACCTCCTTCAGTCATCCTGACGTGGGAGGGCTGGGTGGAAGAGGACTCTCCCAGGCAGACGGGGAGCAAGGCTCAGAAAACCGAAGCGTTCCCAGAAAGCGCGAAGCTCCGGAGAGAAGGAAACTCGCCGAGCGAGCGGAGCTTGTCTCCCTTGTGCCTTGCACGTGCACAACAAGAACTTGGACGCACTCCTTGTCTAGCAGGACCGCTCCAGAGACTCCTTTGAAAAGGCCGGTCCCCAAGCCTTTGTCTCTGACCCGAAACGCTTCGGAACGCTTGCCTTCTCTGCCACGTTCAGCCTCTGAGGCTCCTGTTTCCTCATCGCTCTCGCCTTCCTCACATTATACTGTATCTGCTTTTGCCGGTTCCTGTTGTATCCACTCCAACCACCAACCTCAAAGTGCACTAGAAGCCCCCTGAAGGCAAGGACAACGTCACATTATATTTATTTATTTATTTGTTTGTTTGTTTGTTTTTTGCCTTTGTATCTCAGAACTCAGCGCAATTCCTGATACCTAGGCAAGGCTGGTTGAACTGCCCATCATTGTGTGTCCTCGTATGGAATTACAGAAAATTGAATCGTATTATTACCAGAGATGTAAGTCCACCCTCCTGTGGCCATTCAAGCAAACTACAGACACGTGATCTTTCGAATTCTCTGTAGGCGAACCAGACAAGGCTTTCTTGCTAATGTGCAGGGACACTCCTCCTACATCCATCACTTCTAAGCATTGCTTCCAGGAACAAGGAAGTGATAGGCTCTCTGTGCTCTGCTCTGGTCAGTCCACATCTAGAGTATTTGGTCCAGGTCCTGGTGCCACAATTTACAAAGGACATTGATAAGTCGGAGAGGATGGTGATTGGTCTTGTGTCTGAGTCAGACAAAAATCAGTTGAAGGAACTGGACAGATTTAGACTTGGTGGGGCTGATATTTCCAGTGGCCTCTTAAGTGGTCTCCCTTTCTACTCACTCCAGTCCATGGCCCACACAACTGCCAAAGAGATTTTCCTAAATCTCACATCTCATCACATTACCCTCATAACCAATAAACTCTAGGGTCCCTGGGTCTCCGTATTACCTCTGAGATCAAATAGAAAACTCTGGAATGCTCTTCCTCTTCACTTCTGCCTTTTTGAATCCTATGTTTCCTTCCAGACTAATCTCAAATGCCGCTTTCTGCATAAGGTGCTTCCTGGTCTCTCCTCCCCCTCAGATTCCAGAATCTCCTCCTTTCCGCAGGATTAGATGGTATGTATGTTGCATACAAATTCATAACTGGACTTTAGAGATCACCTTCCTATTGGTGGATAGGAAATTACCAAATGTCTCTCTACTCAAGTCCTTGGCAAACCCAATCCATCTTCTACCATTCCTAAGGAAGAAGGGAGAGGGGAAGCCTCTCTGGAGGAGAGCATGGAGCTAGGATGAGCGTTGGAGATAAGCATGGGCTTTCTGGGGTCCAGAGGAGAACCCAGGGCTGCTGCTATGTGAGTGAAAGCAGAGTCATCAAGGGCACCACAGCTCTACCCCAGCTATTGAACTGACAGGGGAGCAAAGCCCAACAAGGACTGTGAATGCAGGAGGTGCAGGAGCCCCATGGGCAGGATGCTGAGCACAGAAACCTGGCTCCTCACCATCTCATCCTTTGCTTCATTTCCACTCTCACACACTCTCAGGAGGGTGCTGAGCCTGAATTCCCAATCTTTGTTTCTTTAAAAAAAAAAAGTTTGTTTTGCTCTCTGCTTCCTTTTTGTTTTAAAAGACGCTGGCCTCTGAGAAAAAAAAAGTGGTTAAGCATTGAAATGCCTACCTGTACGTGTCTGAGGGAGAGGTAACTTACAGGAGGGGAAGGAAGGAGAGAGAGACACACACAGAGAGAGAAAGACAGAGAGAGAGAGAAAGAGAGATCATTTAATCACTTCCAGAACAATTCCTGCTAAAATGAAGTCTCAAAGACCTTATTGATTGATATTTTTTATAATGTCTCAGAAAGGAAAAAAGTAGATGTGAAATGCTTTCCAGACATATAAGATTAATAGCTTAGGGGTACAGAAGTCTATCCTGCCCTACAGGAAAATAGAAGGGGAAGGGGATAAGAGAAGGGGAGAGAGATAGAAGAGAGGACAGACTAGGGGAAGGGATATTCAGAATGCATGCCATCTTGGGGTGGGGGGAGGGGGAGATGGGGTGAAAATTTGGAACTCAAAAACTTGTGGAAGTGAATGTTGAAAACTAAAAATAAATAAATTTATATTTTAAAAAAGATTAATAGCTTAGCTTGTGGGAGGCTGTGATTGGTAAGTGATAGGGTAGACCACTTCCTTCATTTCTTCACTTTTTCCTTGAAAGGAAAACTAAACCATGCTGGAGGGTCAGAGCCAAGGGAATTGACTACAGAGAAAGTCATGTTTAAAGAAAGGAAGCAGGAAGAATGGCATTGCTTATGCGGGGGGAGCTAGTAAGAGAGAGGGACTGGAATTCTCCCACAGCACAATCGAGGCTTCTCCCACAGCACAATTGAGGCTCCTCCCAACACCTCGGAGGCTGGTGGATGTGCCTGTGACTGCCTATTAGAATGGAAGCTGCTCTGGTGCAGGTTCCCTTTCACTTTTGTCTTTGTGTGTGCCCAATGCCTGGCACATAGTAGGTACTTAATAAATGTTTTTTAACTAACAAAGCTGCTGATATTCATTGAGAGAGGGCACTTCTTTATTGGGAGCCCTATAGTAATGAAATCCCAGGTCATAAGGAAAGTATTAGTCATTGCTGATCCCCACAGCTTCTGTTACAGCCTGTCCCCCTTCCCATATGTTGTGTTAATTTTGTATATATTTGCATGTGTATGTGTACATGCAATACCCCCATAGAATGTGTATTCTTAAAGACCAGGGACTATTTTTTAATTTTTTTTTTGGCTGTAGCACTTTGCACAGAGCCTTGAAAAAAGGCACCCAGACCTGGGATTTTGTTGGCATAAGGAACTTTGCCCCAACAGGGAACGCCCACTGCCAATGCACCTTCTCGACTTACTGTGAGGTGAAGGTTTAAGTCACTTGCTCAGGGCTACACAGCCCACATGTTCAAGAGGTGAGATCTGAATCCAGATCTCGCCGAATCGAGGTGAGGTCTCCATCCACCACCTAGGGCAGGCATTAAGCGAAAGCTTGCTCATGGATAGTGTCAAACAGTGGTGTGGCTGGCCTTTATCTCCTCAGTCCTCTCTCCTCTGACTGCCAAGGTCGAGGCATCTACTTAGGATTCCATGACTGTCTGCTGCTGACTTACTTGAACATGTTTCATCTTGTTTCAGAGTACGCAGGATTCCAGTGTGACCTCATTATGATTGAAAAAGACAACCAGACTGGGTAGGTTAAACACAAGACAGATTCCCCCACCGGGTTTCATCCTGGCCCCTTCCTACACTTGCTGTGTGAGCTTGGCTTACCCTCACTTAACCTCTAAGAAATGTAGCATAAAGCAATCTCCAAGAGAGGCGGGGAAGAGCCCTTATGAATAGCCCTGGATGACAGAAGGACCGGCTAAAAGCTTATGCATCTTCATGCTGTTCCTGACAGCCCTGATAACAGCCCATTAATTATTTTTTTTTCTGCATGATACATAACTTGGAAAAATGCTTCCACCCACCATGAAGCATTTCAGATTGCTTCTCTCCCCCACTTGCTGTTCCCCTAGCAGCTTGTTCATCATGGAAGCCACATCTCATTAGCATGATGCATTCCTGGGCTTGTGGAGGCTTTGTGGTTAAGGGCCCAGTTAATCTCCAAGGGATTCACCTTGTATGACTTAAATGTGTGTTTCACTTAAATGTGCCTTTGGAAGGGCTAGAAACTCATGTTTTAAAGGGCTGAAAGAGACCTGAGCAGCTAGGTAGAATAGCAGCTAGAGTGCCATGTCTGGAGTCAGGAAGACTCCTCTTCCTGAGTTCTAATCTGGCCTCAGACACTTACTAGGTGGGTGACCCTGGTGGGGTCCATGCATCATTCACCCACCAATGGGATTCTCCTAAAGCACAGATCTGAGCATGTCTTTCCCCTACTCAGTAAACTCCACTGGCTCCCTATTGCCTCCAGGGTCAAATACAAAATCTGTGCTTGGCATTCAAAGCCCTTCATAACAAAACCTTCTCCTACCTTACTTCTCACTTCTACTTACTTCTCACCATGTATCATCAGTCCAGCAACACTGGCCTCCTGGCTGTGGCACAGACAAGAGAGTCCATCTCTCAGCTCCAGGCATTTTCTCTGGCTTGCCCAAGCCTGGAATGCTCACCCTCCTAATCACCTACTGACTGTTCTGGCTTCCTTTGAAGCCGGACTAAAATAACTCCTTCTCCAGGAAGCTCTTAATTCTAGTGCCTTCCACTGTTCGTTATTTCCTATTGATCTTGTGTTTAGCTTGTTATCTATTTGCTTTCTTGTCTCTCCCATTAGATTGTGATCTTCTTGAGGGTAGGAACTGTCCTATGCCTCTTTTTGTGTCCCTGGTGCTAGACAATGCCTGGCACCTCGTAGGCATTTAATAAATGTTTATAGGTTGACTAAACTACTCTTTGTCATGAAAATTCCCAAGAGCTGACCCTAAACATAAGTGCTTCTTACATATTCCAGGGGACATTTCTCACTAGGCTGCAGAGACTACCAGATAGCTTTGGACATGTTCAGATCCTGCTAAGTCATGCCTCAGTGAAGCCTTCAACCTAGGAACTTACTCAAATGTTGGATCCAAATTTACCTTAATTATTCCTGATTCTGAAACTTCTTGCTACTGCATCCTTCAGGTATCTGTAACCATTTACCAAGACAAGTTTGTGCTCAACCTGTGGTAGGGCCTTCCAAGCTCATATTGGTCTGATCAGCCACAGTCAAGTACACTGTAACTTGACCCCAATGTAGTGATGTCATTTTGGTCCTCTTCAAGCACAAAGGACAGTGACAACCAAGACCCCAATTTCCTTTCAGCAAATGGAAACACGATTAGCACCTCAAATCTTGCCTCATATTTCCATCCACATTTATCTCCAATTGAGCTTCTGCAGATTCTACCATATATTGTAGGCAATTAAAGGACCCAGATGGCTGCTTTGCTTTGCAGTTGCTAGGTTTCCAAATCTTTTATCTCATTCCAGCAAGAAAGCTGATCAATTCTCAAACAGTTTCAACTCACTAAGCCTGATCTTTTAACTGTTTTTTCCTTAAGATCCCAGAGTTCTGTGGGAGTTATGAAACCAGTTGTCAAGTTGACAATATGTAAATACTGAGGAAATAAGACACAATGCCAATGAGCAGCCCGTCAGTGCAAAGTGATTCTTCTAAGCAACACAGTTGGGAAATGTTCACAGCTGCCTGGGTTCTAGTCTTCTCTGCAATGTGATCATCTCTAAAAACAAAAACTAAATGCACATTTTAGTCCAAATGAAAATCTGAAAAGTGAATATACAATGAGTCTACCGTGGAGTGTTTGTTCTGATGGAGAGTTACATTGATGCTTTCTTTTCTTTTTCAAGTAGAATTGCTCTGAGTTCTGTCCCAATGGCTTCCTCCCATACTCCATGGTGTAGACATTGCATGAGGTACTCAAAGGGATTTGTAATGTGTCTGTGCTAGGGGGAGAAATGCGGGGGGGGGGGGTGGAATCACCACCCCATGCAAGATCTAGCAGGTCCTAGCAAGCTGAAGAAAGTTCGTGTAGGGGTCTGATAGAAGTATTGGAGTTGACGACCTGATGCTAAATTATTTTCAAGATTTATGGAGTGGTGGCAGGAAGAGAGGTAGGGCTAGCATCATGCAGCCTTCTCCCCTTGGTTTCCATTCAGGACAAGAGATGTAGAAACAATGTAATCCCCAAATAGTAACAGATTGAGGAGGTGGCTTTCTGTATATTAATAGGCCAGGATAACCTTAATTCAAAATGGATTTCATCTTTGAAGAAGGTAAACCCTTGACTTTCAGAGCTGGCAGAACTGAAGATGTAGGAGAAGAGGAATATTGCAAAACCCTTAGAGGTGGAATTAAGGAATAAGCTCCATGTTCTAAAAAAGGATATTGGTCAATTGAAGAATGACCAGAAGACAGTGACTAGGGTGTCAATTGAAGATTAGTTCGAAGTACTGGGGATGCTTATCCTAGTGAAGATAAAACTTACAGGGGTCATGTATTAGAAAGGCTGTGAGATGGAGAAAGGAATACCTTTGTTATGTTTAACTCTGAATTTTTCTAACAATTAGCTTTGTAAAAAAACTTAGTCGCATTTTATTTTTTCCCAATTACATGTCAAGACAATTTTTAACATTCATTTTTACAATATTTTGAGTTCCAAATTTTTCTCCCTCCCTCCGTCCCGTCTTACTAAAATGGTAGGCAATTTGATATAGGTTGTACATGTGTTATCATGTAAAATATATTTCTATATTAGTCATAGTTGTGAAGAAGAAACAGATCAAAAGGGGGAAAAATCCATGAAAAAGAATAAAGCAAATGAAAAGTATGCTTCCATCTGCATTCAGAGTCCATCAGTTCTCTATCTGGATGTGGACAGCATTTTCCTTCATGAGTCCTTTGGATTTGCCTTGGATCATTGCACTGCTGAGAAGAGCTGAGTCATTCATAGTCAATCATTACACAATGTGCTGAGACTGTGTACAATGTTTTCCTGATTCTGCTCATTTTACTTTGCATCAGTTCATACAGCCTTTCCAAATTTTTCTGAAATCTGCCTGCTCCTCATTTCTTATTACACAATAGTATTCTATTACACTTATATACTTTTTTTTTAAACAAGTAGGACCTTGGCAAAGTGGAATGGGCTACCACAGATAGTAATGGGTTCCCATTCACCCTTCTCGGGTCTCCATGCAAATATTGGGTGATCACGTGTGAGCTGTGTTAGAGACAGGATTCCTCTTCAGACGTGTGTTGGTCTTGAAAGACTCTGATCTCTCTTCAAACTGTGAGGTTGTATGACTTCCTGAAACCTCTCCATCCTGAAACCATCTCCACCCAATACTCTTCATCTCCAGCTCCAGCCTCAATATACTATGTTTACAAGAAACATGAACTTGGAGATGGAGGTGAGAATAAAATAATCATTATTATTATACTTCCACTATGTCCTCATAAATTCAATAGCATATACTCATGTATCATAATATCCAAATTAAATGGAATGAAAGGCTTTCAGAGTACAAAGATGGATCAGAAGGAAACAGTCCCTGGGGGAACGGAATGATGTTCAGAGAAATTGCCTGTCATCCTGTCTGCCCCTGGAGCTGTTGTCCCCAAAAGAGGAGTCAAGAAACAAGCTGACATCCTAATACTTTTACACAAACATGAAAAGCAGCTATTATATCTGCCTGGGCAACAGTCTACAGAACATTAAACTTGAATGAAAAATAACACACTGTTAACTCGTCCCAGGACCATTTCTATCTGAACTTCATGGAGAACAATGAGGAAATTAAACTGCAATAGAAACCAGCATTTATCTGGCCCTCTGAGGTTTGCAAAGGACTTTACATATGTTAGTTCATTTGAGTGTCTCCATTACCTTATAAGAGAGGTATTACAATTGGTATTATCCTCATTGTACAAATGAGGAAACTAAGGCTGGAAGAGTTTTAGTGCTTTGCCCAGAGTCACCTGCCTGGTCAAGCATCTGTGGTAGGAGTAGAACCCAAATCTTTCTGTCTCTAATGCAGTGGCATTTGAGTTAGGCTTTAAAGGATGGGAAGAGAAGAAGGGAGTTCACTCCAGGCATTGCCACCCAGAGATGTGAGGGCATGGTGTCAAATTCAAGGGCCTGAGGGCTGTCCAGTTTGGTAGGAGCATCATGGATGTGGGGGGAGGGGAAGAACATGAGCCCAAGCATATAGCATGGTGATCCCCGTGAAAGAAGGAAGAAAAGAAAAGAAGAGGAAGAAGAAGAGGAAGAAGAAGAAGAAGAAGAAGAAGAAGAAGAAGAAGAAGAAGAAGAAGAAGAAGAAGAAGAAGGAGGAGGAGGAGGAGGAGGAGGGGGAAGGGGAGGAGGAGGGGGAAGGGGAGGAGGAGGGGGAGGGGAGGAGGAAAAGTAGGAGGAGAAAGAGAGGGAGGTGGAGGAGGAGCCCCTCTGGGGCTAAATAGAATAAGTTCAGCCCCTCTTCTATGTGATTGCCCTACAAACGCTTGAAGAAAGCAGGCACATCCCCTCTGACTCTTCTCTCTCTTCTCTGGGTTTAAGCAGACCCGCTTTCCTCCAAAGATACTTGATCCGTCATAACTATGAGGACCTTCACCCTCTCAGATGCCCTCCTGTGGATATTCTCTAGCTTCCTTATGTTCTACCCAAGATGGTGGGCCCAGAACTCAACCCCAATTCTAGATGCTGCCTGAACATGGACGATTATGGTGAACTCCTCTCACTCCTGGACACCATACCAAATATTGCATTCAGTTTTTTGTCTGCCACATCAGAACTGTGAGTTAGTACTCTTAGATGGTTTTTGAGATGAGCAGTTATCTCACCATGCCTCCCCCTACTAGTTACTGTCAGTAACAACTCAGACATGAATGTAGAAATTCATGAGATTCAATGGAGATACAGAGTCAGAGGGAGTAGGCTTAGGAGAATAGAGGTATGTCAAGAGGTCATAAATTCACCATAAACATCAGATCATGTGGCATAATGGAAGAAGGGGTGAATTAGAGGCAAAGGCCTAGCGTTCAAATCCTGGTTTTAGTATTTACTATGTGTGTGACCATGAATTTAGTGTCCATTAGTTTCCCCAGGGTCTCTGTTTCCTTAACTGTAAAATGAAAATGTTCACCTAGCTGATGTATAAGGATCCTTACTGTTCTATGAAATAATTCTTTTGCTAGCATTATTAATGATGAAAAGACATAGGTTTCCAGGACAGACCAAGAATTTGGATTCCTGGAGCCTGATCTTGTTCACAAAAATGCGGATTCTTCCATTCACCCTATAATTAAAAAGACCTCTGAGTTAGGAAATATGTTGTAGGCTCTCCTCTTAGTGCCTTCTATTAAATCCTTTCTGTCCCAAGGATCCTGGGGTGTGAGGTCAGCACCCACTGACTTGATATCAACTCTTCAGAATCACAAGATGGAAAATGTGAGTACACTATGGCCTTTGAAGATGGAAGGCAGAAGTATAATCCATGATGAACTGGGATAGTGGGGCTCTGACCGTCTAAGCAGCTGGTCTTGCCTTCAATCACTGTTCTGAAATCAGCCAGAACTCCAGAAGGAAGTCTGCTCACTGGCCTGACCAAGGTTGAGGCTGGGTCAACACAGTCCAACTTGATGGGGAGGGTCTGCCAACTACCACTTAACGTGGCTGTAGAGACAGTGAACATGGAGAGCTTGGAGCTGAAAGGCCAGGCTGGAGCCAGAGTGATCTGCATTATCTCTTCCCATCCTTCACTTTGATGTGTGGAGTTAGCCAGAGTGATCTCTTGCCTAAGACATTTCAACATGCCCCAAAATGAAGAATCATCCTCAGTTCTGAGCCAAGAACACCAGGAAAACAAGAGGCCACATTAGCACGGAAGCGTTCCCCGACGGAGCTGCCAGTCCCTGAGCTGATCAAAGGGCATTTACCTTTGGCTTCTTGCAGAGGGCCGTCCGTGATATTTCACTGAGCTTAACTTCTCAGTGCTTTTCATCTTGTCCAGGAGAACCACCCCCTCCCACAGGGATGTTTTTCTCTTTTCCATTCTTGATTTTTTGCCAGCTCTTACAGTACAGGAGCCCTCACTAGAGTCCAGGACAAGCTGTCCAAGGGAGAGTTCAGGGACAGAGACATTGAACTTCAGGACTCCAGCTTGCATTTGGGGAAGGCAAAGAGTCTAGGACACTGGTCCCCACTGACAGAGTCCCCAAGTCCACCACTGGAAAGGCTGGGAGGAGGGGAAGGCGATGCCAGGCAAGCTTACCAGGGGGCAGGGGCAGCAGGGGGAAGAAGCCCCCATCTGGTAGCTTCCCATTTAACCAATTATTTTTGTTAACTAGTTGCGAAATTCAGCTTTTCACACAAGCAGAAGTCCCCTCTAAATGTGGGTATCCTGGAGAAAAGCTCTGATCACCCCACCCTAATTACGGCTCTGATTGACAGATGTTAGCAGGCCCTTAATATGATGACGATGTATAAAAATCCAAAACCAAAGGAAGAAGGGAAGAAGCAACATTTATTCCCCGGCAGTTCTTCAAGAGGAGAAATAACCCACAGTACAGAGGACCACGGAGGACCATGGAGGACCACGGAGGACCACAGAGGACCACGGAGGACCATGGAGGACCATTGCAGGAGTCAGGGAGGCCGGGGCTCCACTTTGCTCTCTGACCCACCCTGGCTGAGCGGCTCTGCATGCCACACACCCCGCTGCTCTTGAAACTCTCTGAGGCTAGAAGCTATGGAGAAGGTTCTGACCTGCCGTGGTAGAAGGAGGTTCCTCATGAGGGAGTTCCCTA